GGACAAACACTGCATAGTTCACTGCTGTAGAATGGGACTGACATCAGGGTTGGGGTAAGAATGAGAAAAACTGGATGAATTGAATATGTATACTGCATTGAAACACATGAGGGAGAGAACAGTTTAAAAGCAATATATTATCTTATTATCATAAGAGTCCAGAATGAAGGTTGCAGAGTAGAGTATACTCGGGGTGCGGGGGATTATATACCAATGAAGGAATTTTTCTTTTACTTTTCAAAGAGAAGAGCGAACTGGGGAGTGGGGGAGGGGGCGGGGAGAAAAGTGCAACAATGAATGAATGAATGAATGAATGGAAATCAAAAATCTCTGTAATTGTTCATTAAAATAAAAAAAAAATGTGAGCTGTTCACCCCACCCAGGAGCCCCAATAATGTAATGAGCATAGTGGCCATTCGTTCTGTGGTGCGACTTCCCAATCCCACTTCGGATCTGGAGGAAGGAAGCTGGAACAGAACAAGAAAGCCTCAACCCAGCCTTTCAAAAAGAATTGGGTCACCCACAGCACCCCTCATAAACCTCTCTAAATATGGAGAAGGTCAGAGAAATCACTATTAATGCACTGCCTAATGGTTTTTAGCAAGAGAGTAGTCTTGGGCCTAATTGACAACGCCGCCAGGCTGAGGTTTCTTTATTTTTATGTCCTGGTGCACTCTGAGTATGGCAGGCTGCTATGGGTAATCAATAAGTGTAATAGTCACAGCTGTTTTCTGGGTGTTCAGTAAGGTAGTATGGTTCCAGGAGCAGGCCACTCACTGGACAGCCCCAGACAAATCCAGTGCCTTCCTTGGGCCTCAGTGTCCTAGTACCCTACCATCTGTAAAGGGAAGGCCAAGTTCTTAACCTGGGTCAGTCTGGCTTGGGCCCATAGGTTAAGTGTCGAGTCTTTGTGCATGCATGCAATTCTGCGGGATGTGTCTATAGCTTTTCTCGTGTTCTCCAAGGATCCATTAATGCTCAGATTGCCTACTGTGATTCACTGGGGTGGGGGGGTGGTATTTAAGGCTGCTGGGTTCTAGCTGGCCTGAAACTCTGATTTAAATGTTTCTAAGTCCCAAGAAGTCCAGCAGAGGGGGCTCAGGGCAGGGGTAAGGGCATAGGGACCTGTGAGAAGAGCTGATTGCCAAGGGCTTTGCTGGCCAGGGATCCCCCAGCTGCCCAGCACTCTGCCCTGCTCTGCACACTGCCCATTACTCCCTAAGTGGTATCAGAGTGGGGCATTCCCAGCCGCACAACCTGCCCCTCTCCTGGATGGCTACAATAGTGACCTTATTCATTTCCCCAACTTCCACAGCTGGAATGGAATCCAAATCCTTGGTAATCCACACCAGATCCAGTGTGCACCTGCCTCTGTGATGTTCTCCCACTCCCTCCCTCTCAGCCTGGCCAACCTCTGCTCAGTGCCCCCAGTGCTCTGGGATCGATCCTTGGCCTTTGCTGGTTCCTCTGACGAGGAGACACTTCCCCACTAATCCCTTCTCCTCACTTTTCTTTTGGATCTTGACCTGACATCAGCAATTCCAGGAAGCTGTGACACCTCTTCTAAGATAGGATCCCTCCTCACTAGTGCCCTCATGTACCTCCTTTATAGCACTAAAAACGTGGGTCACCAAACACTTGTGTGCTTTCTTGCTTCTTTGTCATAAACTCAAAGGAAAGGATTGTATGTACATCAGCAACTATCACTGTGCCTGTCTCACAGTGGCATTTACTAAATGTTCCAGTGTGCCTGCTGAAAGGTTAAAATTAAAATGACTGACAGTGTCAAATGTTGGTGAGGACATGGAGCCATCAGAACGCTCATACAGTTGATGGGAATGTAAAAGGGCACATCCACTTTGGAGAACAATTTTCTTGTTTGTATAAGGTTACACAAATGCTTACTGTATTTCCTAAGTATTTACACCACACAAACATATCCAAACCCATTGCCGTCAAGGCACTTCCAACTCATGCATTACAGAGTAGGACTGGGCCCCTCATGGTTTTCTTGCTGGTAGTTTTTATGGAAGTAGTTTTCCAGATCTTTCTTCTGTGGTGCTGTTGTATGAGCTCTAACCATCAACCATACCAAACTCGCTGCTTTAGAACGATCCTGCAGGCTGGAGAACTGTCCTATAGCTGGGAACCTTCACAGAAGCAGACTGCCACATCTTTTCTCCTGCACAGTAGCTGGTGGGTTTGGGCAGGCAGTTAAAACTTTTTTCTTTCTTTGGTGGCCAAATGTGTTAACTGCTGCGACACCAGGACATCTTAGTTGTGTGCCCACCACTTATGTGACCCAGGGATCAAAGCAGATGTCCACACGAAGACTTGCACGTGAAAACTGTGGACTTAGCGCAGCCTACACAAGCTGGTTGTCCATCCGGAGCAGGCAAAAATAGTTGTATCGCCACAGTCTGGTTGGGCAAGAAGGAGAACGATGCTCCCAAGGGGCCCCTGAGAGAATCCATCCGTGCTCAGAGTGGTGATGAGCACTATGCGTGGGCAGGGTGGGCCCAGGGAAGCAAGGTAAGAGGGGCTTGGATGAACAGTGGTGGCCTTCTCACCTGTAGACTCCCCAACCTGCTTCAGGAGGGTGTTTATGGAAATCTTCTCCAGAGCAGGCTCCTCTGTGGTAGTTAGAATCGTGGTGTTGTTAGATGCTGCTGACTCAGCCCCGGACTCCTGGCCACCACGTGCACGATGGGATGGGAAGCTGCTTGACCCTTTGCTATCCCATGTTTCACTACTTACACTTTGGACCATTGCAATTGATAGGGTTTTCGTTTCCAGTTTTCAGAAGTGAATCACCAGGCCTTTCTTCCTAGTCCATCTTAGTCCAGAGGCTCTACTGAAGGCTGTTCATATAATTGTTGTTGTTATGTGCTTTCGAGTCACTTGCAACTAATAGTGACCCTCTGTACAACAGCCCTAAACCCTGCTCTATCCTGTGCCAACCCCGCCATCTCTGACACACCTACCCCCATTACCCCAGACACTGAGTCAATCCATCTCATTGAGGGTCTTCCTCTCTAGCAATGCACAAGCCTCCCCAGTGGAGGAATGGTGGCCATGCACGGAACACATTGCCAAGGAGTGGAATTTGGATCTCTCACGTGGAGGGTGAGATGCCGCCAGTGCCTCAGAATTTACAATCACATATTTTGTTTGCTTAATACAGTGTTGCCCCTTCGATAGATTAACCCAAGATGGGGAGGTGTTTTGTCTGGTCACCCCGTTGTAGCCCAGCACCCACAGTATTCCGCATCACACCACCTGGTGCTCGGTATTTCTGGCTGGAGGATGTGAATGAGTTGGAGAAAGAAAGGGCAGGTGACCATGGTCAGGGGTTGTTGGGGACTGTTTCTGGGGCGGAGAGCATGCTGCACCCCACGCCGCCCGGCCAAGAACAGGCATGGCCACCAAGAGAACTGCTGCATGCAGGATTCTTGCAAAATGCCAATTAAGACGTTTGACCCAAATTTGGATAAAAGCCTTTTTCCTGTGTCAAGTTGAGCTAATAATATACATTTATTCATAATTTATGAGGCCTAGTAAGTGGGAACAATTAAGGGAAAGGCCTGAACAAACCTATTTCTCTGTGTCATGTAAGCCTTCCCCCCTTCCCCATCTCAAGCCATTTCCACCCCTTTCTGCCTTCCACGAAGCACAGTTGTTTATTGTTTGTTTCTAATGCTGTTTGCCAACCTTTACTGAGCATTTTCTGGACCAGCCTATCCTGTTGCCTCATTTCATCTTCACAAGAACCACATGAGGCTGGGATTGTTGTTCCCATTTTATAGATGAGGCCATTGAGAACTGAGAAGTAAATGGCCTTGACTAAGGTCTCATCACTCATGATGAAGGATTCGAATTCAGGTCTGACAAACCTCAGGACTGATTCTGTTGCTGTGGTTTTCTATTTCTGTGCCATCTTCTTGACTTGGACCACCGCTGAAGGTCTTCTGTTGGTGACTGTTACACAAGGGAGCCCTAGGTGAGGCAGTCACCTCGGTGGCTGGTCAGCATGGTGAGTGGTCACCCCTGAGTCGGTAGGTCTGCGGTGGTGCCTGAGAATTTGTAACTAGTTCCCGGGTGAGGCTGATGCAGCTGTTCCTGGAACCTCAGTCTGAGAACCACTGACTTGGACAAAGCAGTGACCAGATTCCCCTAAGAATTCTTCAGCTGTTCTCCCACCTGTTCCATCACCTTGATCTGGTGCATAATAACCTTCCAGACCTTTTCCTTTGCGTTTGCATACATATTCTTGTGCCTGGAGAAATGTCATGTCGCTTGATTTTGTTTCATTCTTTAATGAATGGCATAATGTCTTCTTGATGATATTCTGCAATTTGACTTTTTCTTTAATAAGGGCTTGGGGAACACATATATCTGCTCCATTTTCTGTGACATCCTGAATTTCATGTAAGGAGTTTTATTTACCCACAACCAAACTGATCCATGATCTTCCACATTGTAGCCATTACAAACAGAACATTCCTTTAAAATCTCTGCGAATGTGAACAAATGCTTTTAAAGAACACATTAATCACTCAACAATGCCAGCTATTATTAGTGCCAATATTTAGGTAGTTGTTTCATTATTATCGAGGGATTATTGCCTTCAAGGAGCTCCTTTGTAGGTGGGGGCAGTTATGTAAAGTAGTAACTCTCTATACAGCTTCTAATAGACTTCCAACAAAAGAATTCTGGTAAGAAAGAAGTATCGTATGGACAGGGCTTTGAGGGATGAATAGGAGTACCAACGGGGAGAGAGAAAGCATTGAAGGATTTATACTACCAGGGTTTGGCTTAACTGCTAGGATATGATTAATTTAGGAAGGGCAGGCACATCTTTGGCATTTTGTGGTTGAGCTGCACAATCAGGCCCTTGTCAAGGGCAGCCCCAGGTCCCTGCATCATGGGGAAGAGACACCTGCTGCATCTAGCCAGGCTCAGCTCTGATCTGCTTTCTTGCTTTCTTCCTGTCTCTGCAGGGCGGAGGGTCTGGGGAAGAGCAGCTCTGTGCAGATTTTCCAGAGCTCGACCTCTCCCAGCTGGACGTCGGTGACTTTGACTCGGCCACCTGCTTCGAGGAGCTGCAGTGGTGCCCAGAGAGCTCTGAGACAGACCTGAGCCAGTACAGCCCCGAGGACGCAGAGCTCTTCCAGGTACGCCCCACCACCTGCCCACCCACCCAAGTTCTGAACCCTGATTCTTGCCCTGGACCTGATTTTGATCTTGGGTTGTTTCTGCACCTTCACTGAGCCTCTGTAAAGGGAGGGCTGCAGTCCTCCTACTAGCTAAAAAAATTTTTTAAAAAATAAAATGTCTTCATCATAGCCTTGTGAGGCAGATGGTCAGGGAAACAAAATGGGAAACAGAGGCTTGGAGGAGTTCACAGCAGAGTTGGATTCAACCCAGTCGGCCTGCCTACTGAACTGGACTTTATAATCATGACGACACCATAGTTGGAATGACTCACATTTACTGAGCAACTGCTCAGTGGCAGGACCTTGTGTGCGTTAACTCATTTACGTCTCTTAACTCTCAGAGGGAAGCACCATTATCTCTGATTTTTAGATACAATTAACCCCAAACCAGACTGCCGTTGAGTCTATGCCGACTCAGATGCAGAGCATATGGGACAGAGCAGAACTGCCTTGAGGGGGTTTCAAAGGTTGTAAACATTCATGGAAGCCGACTGCCACTTCACCCTCCTGTGGAGCCACTAACCCTTTTCAGTTAGTAGCTGAGCGCTTAATCACAGCACCACCAGAGCTTCTCAGATACAGTCAAACCCATTGCTGCTGAGTAGATACTGACTCACAACGACCTGCCTTCAAGTTTCAGAGGCTTTAAATCTTTATGGTAGGAAATTGCCCATTCATCTTCTGTGACGTGATTGGTGGATTCGAACTTCCCATCAGTTAGCCGACTGACACGTTACACACTAGGCCAGCAGGGCTTCTCAGATGAGAGGACCTCCAACCAGATGTCCCTTAAAAAGAGGTGGAACCTCTTGGGCACCCAGGATGGTTGACCTTCTTTTCTGAGGCTCTCATACGTGAAATAATACACTAAGATTTGCCTGAGATAGAGCAGGCTCCCTGTGAATTTGTGTGTGTGTTGTGAATGCACACGTGTCTATGTGTATGGCTGGGGCAGGGCTTGGAGGGAAGTAGATGAAATAAGACTGGCTGTGCTTGAAGCTCATGGATGATAGGTCTGTGGAGATTCATTACTCTTTTCGTAAAATGTCCCCTTTATGAAGATTGAGATTAAAGGCCTGGATCTCTGTGCCTACCTGGCAACATTATAATAGTGATAACTGCTTATTAATTGCTGTTGAGTTAGCCCCCAATTCACAGCAACCGTAGGCACAGTGGGGTGCGGGGTGGGGGCAACATTGCTCAGACCTGCACCAGCTCCATGCTCACTTGTGAATCTGATCATTGTGATCACTAGAGTTTCACTGGCTGCTCTTTGGAAGTAGATTGCCAAGCATTTTCCCCTTGTCGATCTGAAAGCACTACTTCCGTTTTTTCCTGCATCCCAGCAGAACTTGAACCCCCACTGATACAGGCAGGCACATGTGTGTTGGTGGGGAACAGAACCCAGGGCTCCTGCATAGAAGGTGAAAATTCTATCACTGCTTTGAAAGCAATATGCTGACCATTGCCTCAGAAGTCCTCCAGATGGACTTTGTCATTCATTCAAGAGGCTTTTGTTGCATTTCCTGAGCTCCCCCTGAGTCAGGCACAGTGTCCATCAGAAGACTTTCATCAGCAGTATAAACACATAAAATAACAGTTGCACCTGTGACAAGTGCACAGCTGGATGGACGCCTGGGCGTGAGAGAAGCGTCTACGGCCTGGTGGTCAGAGCAGTTAGTGGAAAGAGGAGTGAGGCAGCCACGGATGATCAGAGAGCAAGGGCTGGGAATTCCCAGCAGAGAAAGCAGTCAATGCAAAGCCAGGAACGTTTCATGTGTTGAAGGAACAAGAGTGAAGGATGGTGGCTTAGGGGAAAGTTCTAGAAAAGGGGCCAGACTGTGAAGGGCCTTGTGAGCCATGATGAGGAGTTAGGATTTTTCCTATTCTAACCCATATAAAGTATCCCTAGCCCATTTACAGGTAAGGCAAAGGAAGCTCAGAGAGGCTAAGTAAGTTGCCAAAGGGCACACAGCTAGAACGGACAGGGCTAAGGCTTTAAATTAGGAACCCATATTCTACCCATTATGCCGAACCCCTTTGCCAACCTTGTGAGAATTCAAAGACTGCGGGCCAGCAGGGCACAGTGGCCAAGAGTTAGAGGCTCCAGTTCTGGCCTCCATTTCCTGCAATGAGGAAGTTATCTGTATTGATGTTTGCTTTTCCTCATATAGGGGCCACTTTCCAGAATATCACAGAGGGCTAATAGATGAGGGTGTGGAGATGCTTCGTGCTCCAGGGACCAGACTCCCCAAGACTGCTCAGGCCCCTAGCTCACGCGGAGACTGGCCCACCAGCTAGACCCTGTGGAAGGCTCATTGCACACATCAAATGATCTCGCACAAGTGAGTCTGGTGCGGCAGCCCAGCTCCCAGCCCTGTGAGAAGGACAGAACCCTCAGCCCCTTGCCTTACACACTGTCCTCTGTCTGTGTGACAGTTTGATTAGTCCCTCTTTCCCCCTAATACCGTAAATTCTGTGTGCATGGTGCCATATTGAAATTGTTCATTATTGTATTCCCAGGGTGCCTAGCACTTTCTCAGGGCTTAATAAATGCTTATCAAATGAATAAATCCTTCATTGGCCAGCACCTGTGTTAGGCCTTCCTAAGGGTTTCAGTTACTCCCTTTCATGGGCTCCCATCACACGTGTGTTTATGATACCACCTGGGTGTGTGCACGCACGCCTGTGTCCTTCACTTAAGTGTGGGAGCGACTTAAGGACAAAAAAGCATTCATCTCTGAGGCCTCAGCTCATTTTAAGGACTTAGTGTCACTTGTTGAGTGAAGGAATGGATTCTACTCTTTTTCATTCCTGCCAAGGACCAGACAGGACCCATTCCTCGCCCCTTGGGCTGGGATTCGGGGTCACAGGTACTAATTGTCCTTCTGTGGCCAGCTCCAACCAGCTCCTCGTTTGCCGGAGGGGGAGCATCATGGAGCCGTTCTACCTGCATCACAGCCATGCTGTTACAGTAAATGGCTCATTGCTATGGAAACACATTAGGAGAGTGGAGAACCAGCTGTAGTAACAAAGATTGATGACTTTGGGGACAAGGACATGTATGGCCTTGAGTTTCTCTGTGTACCCTGGAGTCCTCAGGGCTAGGGTCATAACAGGCACTGGGAAATGTTTTTGGAGTGTGCAAGCTGTCTGTCTTTCTGTCACAATTTGTTGTGTGGCTCTAAGCAAGTTGCTCCCTTTGGTTGGATCTGTTTCCCCAGGTGAGGAATAAAGAAAGGATGTGGACTCTATCAGTGCTTACTAATCTTTCTCTTTCTCTCTTCTCTTTTCTCTCTTTATGTGTGTGTATGTGTGTACATGCTGGAGGATGGGAGAAAGTAATCACTCTACGGGAAACTGCGCATCTAACCTCATTACATTGTGTAGATCCTTATTTGCTGAAGCTGCGGAGGGCTTGTAGCATTTGCTGGAGAGAGTCAAGGACTATAGCTAGCAATATGATTTGGACCTCAACATCAAGAAAACAAAGATTCTTACCACTGGGCCAATTGGGAGCATCATGATAGATGGAGAAGAGATTGAGATTGTTAACAGTTTGAGCTTGCTTGGTTCCATAATCAACACTTTTGGCACCAGCAGTAAAAACATCAAAAGACAAATTGCATTAGGAAAGGACCTCTCCAGAGTACTGAAGAGCAAGGATGTCAGCCTAGATAGTAAGGTGTGCCTGATCCAGGCCATGGTATTTGTAGTTACTTGCAAAGAGCTGGACAATGACCAGGGATGATGAGAAAGAATTAATGCCTTTGAGTTGTGGTGCTAGAAAAGAGTATTAAATATACCATGGACTAGCAGGTCTGTCCTGGACATGGTGAAACCAAGCTGCTACTTGGAAGTAAGAATTTTGAGATACTGTCTCACATACTTTGGGCATTTAGCTAGGAGGGATCACTGTGGAAAAGGATATCATGCTTGGAAGGGTCAAGGGACAGTGCAGGAGAGGAAGACCCTGGATGAGATGGACTGACATAGTAACTGAGGTAATGAGGGTAGTTGTGTCAGAGACAGTGAGTTTGGCTCAGGACAGTGTAGGGTTCCAAGCTATTGTGCATAGGGTCACTATGGGTCATGATTGACTCAACGACACATAAAAAGAACAACAGGGAGGATCTCTGAATGCTCTTGTGACTCTGGGAGCTTGAAGTCTGTGCTGTGACAGTCCTTTCTGTTATTCTGGGTCTCCAAAATGCAACATTTTCTCTCAGATTACTTGAAGACTCCTTTCCTGCTTGCGATCAGCTCAGGAAGGTTGGGGGTGGGGTTGATCTATTAATATCCCTTCCTCTGCTGATTAACTCTCCATTAATTTGCACTCCGTTTCTAAGCTGAGCAGATTTGAGCTAATGGGCCCAGGGAAGAGGAGAGGAATGGCTTTGCTCCCCTGTGATGTATTACTATAGGGCCCTGGGGCCAGCTGTGGGCGGGAGGGGTCCTTCCTCCCATCCAGGTTTATGACCTCAAACCCTGCCTGGCTCTTCCAAAATTAGAGCGTCCAGGGAAGAGTCAGAAGGGATGAGGGCTTCTCTTAGTTACTTTTGTTCCCTCCCCCACCTCATGGGCCCTTGATGAGGTCTCAACAACTATTGGTTTGTAAGATTGGGGTTCTAGTTCTTGATCTCACCACAGGCTTGATGGTGACCTTCACAAGTCTTTTCCTTCCCTGGAGAGCTTCATTTCCCCAGTTTATAAAAGAAGTAGGTTGAACTGAAAGAATCAAAGTTCGATTTCCTTCCAAATGACAGCTGCAATTGATTGGTATTTGTGGCCCAGAGCAGTGTGTTAAGCTTCAACAGATGGTGGTGCTGAGGGAGCTGATGCCACAGTTGATTAGTGATGCCTGCTGTGGGCAAAGGAGTGGGAGCAGGAGCACACATGTCCTGTGCTGGACATCCATGGTTACTAGATAATTCCTGACAGGCCTTCCAGCTCTGATATTTCTGATAACTCATCTCTCCAAGACATTTGCTGTGAAAGAGAGAATTCTCATTTGACTCATGCCTGGTCTGTGGAGTCCTAGGATGTGTTCTCCTCTCAGTCTTTCTCCTTGGCCAGAGGCCATTGTTTTGTTCATTTATTCTTCCATTCAACAAGTCTGTTTGGGTGCCTCCCACGCCCCTGAGCTAGACACAGCAGTTTCAGTGCCATTTAAAGACACGGCCTGCAGACCTGGCATCATCTGAGGAAAATTACTTCTCCAAGGTCATCGAGTTAATGATAGGGTCCTGGTGATAAGCCCCAAGAATGATCATTGAATCTCTGGTCCAGGACTTTAACAGCTGTGAAGCTGGATAGCTTGTTGTGCAGGATGGGGGTCTGGCCCGAGGGTTGAGGAAGGTCTGCAGGGTGATACGGGCAGTCAGTGGAGACTCACTGCCTTCCAAAACCAGTCAGAGGGTCCAGATTGGTCTTTCAACTCCCATCCATCCCTAAAGGCTGAGTCAGGCCCATCCCAAAACTTCTTTTGACCTTTTTTTATTCTTAGCACTGTTCCAAAAATGACAAACACGTTTGTTCTTCTCTCCTCCTCGAGTCCCCCCTTCAAATTACTCAGCTGCTGCTCTGGCTGCAAGGCTTGGAATGGATTCAGTGCAGCCAAAAGGCAGTCACGAGGTGCATGTTTTAGATGAACTTCCTGAAGAAAGGATAAACAGCCCGACCTGGGATGGGAATGAACACTGGGGAGGCATCATGTGACAGAAAGCGCCTTCTGCCAGAATAGACTCCAGAGCCGGCATTTACTAAATGAGGCGCTTGGGGCATCACCTGGAAACGGTGTGAGCACCAGCCTCCAGGGCCACTGTCTGGGGGTGGGAAGGGGCTGGGGTCTGAGGTGCACTAGGGGAGTATACATGGGTGGGGAGGGGGTGCATGCTGACCCGTATAAGACCTGAGACCGTCAGAGAAGGAAGAACCTTGGTTCATCCATGCTTTGCGTGCACTTGGTACAGTTTCTGGCTCTGCCCGTTGTTTGCTTGGTGACCCTGAACAAGTTGCTGGACCTCCATGTGCCTCAGTTTCCTCAGCTGTGAAATGGAGATTAGACTAGTGCCTCCCTCCCTCGGAGCTGTGGTCATGCCTCTCTAGCAGTTTGAATTCACTGGGAGCTCTGCTGGAGAAAGAGGAGGAGTTACCTCCCTAGCAATTTGCAGCCTGCTGGAGGGTCTGCCATTCGTGGGTTCTTAGGTTCTGCAATGAGGTCCCCCCTCCACCCCCGCTGGGACTGGTGAGGCTCTCAGAGGCAGTGTGTTTATAAAGCCTTCTTTCCAGTCCCCTCCTCCAGGCTCCTTGCCTCAGGCCTTTGTACTGGGTTTTCTGTCTTTCCTCAGCCCTTTGCCTGACTGGTGCCTTCTCATCTTTCAGTCTTAAGTTTAAGTATCAGCTGCTCAGAGAAGCCTCTTTGACTGACCTACAGATGGAGCCTGAAAATCTTTGTCACATTCTTGTTCTCTATGCCAGTGTCCTTTGATCGCCTCCCACCTCTCTACAATGGTCTTCTTGTTCACCTGCTTCACTCCGTTCTCCACTAGAGTGGAAACTCCATGAGGGCAGGGGTATACCAGTCTAGTGCTAACGCCAGTGCCCAGCGCAGTCAGCTGCATAGCCACTCGATCCCTGTGTGTTAGGGAAAGAGGGGGAAGAATTGCTGCTGCTGTCACCACCACCATCATCATCATCCCAGCAGGAATCAAGATCGTAGCAGCAACACAGTAGTAAAAACCAATTGCTGTTTAATTGATTCTGACTCATCCAACCCCAGGCAAGTCAAAGGAGAAGTGCACACCAAATGGTTTTCAACAGCTCATTTTTTTTTTTTAAGTAGTTGCCAGGCCTTTCTTCTGAGGTATGTCCGAGTGGACTCTTTCGGTTAGCAGCCACCCGTGTTAACCATTTACCCCACTCAGGACTACCAAATAGTGGTAGTAATGAGTATGTAATTGCAAAATCGTGCAGCTGGTTCGAGAGCGGCCACCCCTGAGCTCCGTTAACTCTCCAGGAGATAATGGTCCCTAACAACAATATCAACACACAAAACCAATTCCTATGAGGTTGGACATGCCCTCATGCTCCCACATCATCTTCTATCAATTCTAACAACAGCCACCTTCCCAGGGCTCCCCCCGCTTTGCTGCTGGGTCTGTCAGTCCATTTCAGTGGCCACACAGAACTCTCTATCTTCACAATTATGGAATTTACTAGGGGAGTAACAGGTCACAATTTCGGTCAGAAACAGGATACAGTTCTTTAGTCAAGATTGCTTCTCAGGTATGCTCACCAACACTCTAACCTTCAGTCTTTTGGCTTTGAACCAGTATTACAGAGCTCTTTCAGTCTTACCAGTTATGGTGTATCTCCCCGGCCCTCCAGTAAGACTATCCGAAGCCTGTGTGGCTCTGGCTCCTTGAGAAGTCAGGTCCGGTTCAGCTTTCATCCATCTCCGGCTCTGCAGATTTCTGTCACCTTTTCTGTTGTTGCAACTGTCTTAGTCTGTCACCGTCTTACGCAGGAACCTCAGGCCCCAAAGAACACAATGCTGCTGCTTTCTTGGTGGTGTTGAGATGCCCGTTTTCTGCCTCTAAGCCTGCTCTGTTTAAGCCTGGAAAGATGGCAAGACTGACAGTTCTGCTTGTTGTTAATAGTCTGTGTACTTGGTTCTCATGTTCTCGCCTAAATGTGCCCTTCACCTCCTTCACATCACCAGCAGTGCCTCACCCAGCCACGGGGCAGAGTCAAAGCTGGGAAAAGCTAGGGAAGCAAACTTTTCCGCAGTTTACTGCACCGTACTTATTATATGCCACATATTTCCCCAAACATTTTGTATATATTAGCTTATTTGTGAATTGAGTTCAACTCTCAATGGCAATGGGTATAACCTTAGGAAGTGGTGGTGGTGTTATGTGCTGTTGAATCGCCTGTGACTCATAGTGCTTCTGTGTACAACAGCTCTGAAGCCTGCTCTATCCTGAGCCAGTCCCACTGGCTTCGATACACCTAATGCCATTGCCCCAGTCACTGTGTCAGTTCATCTTATCTGGGGTCTTCCTCTCCTGCGCTGTCCTTCCACCCTTCTAAGGGTGATGTCCTTCTCCAAGGACCAGTCACTCCTGACCACGTGCCCAAAGTATATGGGACAAAGCATCAAAATTCTAGCCTCCAAGGAGAAACTTGGTTTCACCCTCTCCAAGACAGGCCTATTGGTTCTCTTGGTGGTACATGGTATGTTCAGTACTTTTCTTCAGCACCACAACTCAAAGGCATCAATTCTTCTTCTGTCTTCCTTAGTCATTGTCCAACTCTCTGTTGCATAGCATTTAATTGCAAAGACCATGGCCTGGATCAGGCATAGGTATTGTTATTATACCATTTGAAAGATGAGAAAATTAAGTTACTTGTTCAAACACCCAGCGTTAGTAACGGCCTGGGCTGGAATGCAACCCCACGCTCCAGAGCTCTAGCTACTATCATGTGAACCATTTCTCCAGAGTAGGTGCGATGAGGAAGGCCTCGTGTTGTTTTATTACTTACTGCTGGGTTGGCCACTATTGTAAATGAAGCCAGGAGCTTCTGACTCCCAAGCTGTGTGGGCTGAGGTCAGAGGGACTGGGCCTGAGATGGTCGGTCTACTGTTATTGGGATATACCATGCTAGGGGTGTCCAAAGGGCTGCGTCCAGAAGGCTGCCCCCTAGAGGTTGCAATGTAGAACCACCATCCTTAGTGGAGGGGCAGGCTTCACGTAAGAGGACAGCCCTGTGCCCCAGGTCACCGCCTGGTGAGTAACAGCCAACACTAGGCTCCCAGGGCAAGGCCTCTCCATTATCACCTGCTGCCTGCTCATAAAATTCTGTGGTTCTTGGAGTCAATAACACATTTATTGGGCATCTGTTATCCCTGGAAAACGGAGCTGATCTGGGTTGGCGCGTGGCAGGGGAAGGCTGGCAGGGGGTAACAGTGATGCAAATATGCGTGGAAAGCTGAGTTCCTCACTGCCACAGCCGAGTCCGTGGTGCTCACCAGCTGTCTGTCCTTTTTTCTGCTCTCCTTCCCACCGTGATCCTCACTTCAGATCATCGACAGTGAGAATGAGGCGCTCCTGACGGCACTCACCAAGACCCTGGATGACATATCTGAAGATGATGTGGACCTGGAGGCTTTCCCGGCCCTGGACGATGACGATGCACCCTCCTGCACCTCAGCCTCACCTTCCCCTTCGTCTGCACCCCCCAGCCCCTCCCTGGAGACACCCCTGGTCCCAGCCCCAGCAGTGGATGAGCTCTCACTGGTAAGAACCTATTTCCAGGCATTGGAGTGGCAGTGGTGGCGTGGGGTTTTATAGGGCTGGTGGGTGCATAGAAGTCGGCCCGGCCCTGTAGGGGTCTCTGTGTGTCATTGGCAATCGGGTTGGGGACAGAGCTCTGGGCTGGAAGTGGGGGGCCTCCCACCTAGCTGGACCAGCTGCAGAGGGCCTTCACCTGGACCTGAAGGCCTGGGATTTCATGGGTCGGCTTTTGTTCTGTTAAACCCTTGAAATTACATGCAGACATTTTTCCTAAAGATTATACACCCACATGGCAAGAATCAAGAAGGAAATGTAGAAGGTAAAAAGCAAAACCTCCTTGCCCCCTCAAATTGCTTTTTCCTTCCCTAGAGGTAGCCATGGTTACTGACTGTTACGTGATTTGCCTATTACTCTTTTTAAAAAAAAAATAATAAATAACAACAATAACAACCACAAATGGGAAACTGCATTCTATACTGCCCCTGCCTTTTCTGATTTTTCCTTGCATCTTGGGAACTCTCTCAGCTGAGCCTGCAGAGCCCCATTTTATCCTTTGGTTGTGAGGATGGACCATAATTCACTTCCCAGTCCCCATTAACAGGTGTTTATATCGTTTCAACTCCTCCTTTGTCACAACAGTATCATGATCACACTTAAGTGGACACATTCCCAGAAACTACATTCCTGAGTCTGCAGATATGTGAGCTTTGAGTGTAGGCAGGTGCTTCCACAATGCTAGCCCAAGAGCTGTACCAGCTTACATGCCAACCAGCCAAAGTGCTGTGCTATTTGTATATAAAATCACTGGTTTCTGGAGTGAGGTCTCAGCTTTTGAGTCTGTACCCCTAAGGTTGCTGAGAACCTTTGTCCTATATCCCAGGGTGAGATGCCACAGGATTGAAGTCCAGGCTTCACTCATTCTGTATTGGGCTCTACAACTTGCAGGGTTGGAAGGAATCACCTACAAAACCAGCCCATTGGTGGTGGGGAGGGGGGGGTGGCAGGGAGCAGGAGATCCTTAGGCTACGAAGAGTTTGAACTGGAAAGGTCTTTAAACCTGTTGCTTTTCAATTTCAACTCAGGGTTACTGTAGGATGCAGTAGAATTGCTGGCAGTTTGCAAGGCTGTAAATATTTACCAAAGCAAACTTGCTAGTGGGTTCAAACCACTCACCTTGCAGTTAGTAATTGAATGTTCGCTTAACCTATGGAACCTCTAGGACTCCTTTAAAAGCCCTCAAATTCCTCCAGTCCAAACTTGGTGCCAATGAGTCAATTCCGGACTCCTGTGGACCACCTACAAGGTTTCTGAAGTTGTTAAATCGTTAAAGGAGAGACTGTCTGTCTTTTGCCCATAAAGCAGCTGGATTCAAATCATTGACTTTTTGGTAAAAGGTCCTTAGACTCAAAAGTCCACTGCTATCAAGTTGATTCTGACTTGGAGTAACTCTCCCTCGGATTTGCAGAGTCGTAAATCTTATGAGAGGAGAGTACCCATCTTTTTCCCGTGGAGTGGTTGGTGAATTGGAACTGCTAACCTTTTAGTTATTGTTGTTATTGTTGTTGTGTACCGTTGAGTCGGAACTGACCCATAGCTGACCCTTCAGCTTGTTTTCAGAGGCAGTTAATCACACCAGAGGAGATTGCCCATCCTTCTCCCACAGAGCAGCTCGTGGATTTGAACCACATGCCTTTGGGATTGCAGTGCAGCTTCTTACCACTAGGCCACCACAGCTCCACCTTTTAGTTAGAGACCCAAAACTTTGTTTAAAAGCCCTGAGTCTTTAGGAACTCTGCACTGTCATGCAGCATATCAGTGTGTCCCAAGCCAATTATTCCAGTTGCTGGTTCAGGACCCTTTTTCTTGTTTCCCACTGCCTTCAAGTTTCTCAAAAACTCAAATAAATGTATTGCCACCAAGTAGGAACCAACTCATAGCTGACCCTCTCAAGAGTCTTTAAAGACTCTACCTCGCACAGGAAGTCACAGGTGCTTTCGGGTTAGTAGCCAACTCCCCACGGATGACGCCTCCAGAGCTGCAAGTTTCTCAAAGCAGGGTGCAACAAGTGTAAAATAAGCACCTACTGTGTGCTGTCCTCCAGGAGGTCTTATTGACTCTAAACAAGAGGCTTAAATAAAAAACAATCACACAATCCACACAGATCCTCAACCAAAACAAGAGCACCATCCTACAGAGTCCACTACTTCACCCAACCCAGAATGTAGACAGGGGCCTGGTGTTAGGTTGTTGTTGTTAAGTACTGTCGAGTAGTGAGCCTATAAACAAAAGACCTTACCTCGGTTCTATAACTATTGTCCTTTCTCTAAGTTTATAGAGTTTCCACAGGCATGTTTAGAAAGTGGATGCCACTCCTGCTTCCAAGCTTGTCTTAATCTGTGCACTCTACCAAACATTGTCAACCATGCGTGACCACTATGGCATTTGACCCACCAATGGCACATCAGTCAGCATCTCAGCAATCCCAAGTTACCTCAGTACAGTGAAATGGCAGAATAGTGCTGTACGACATAGGAGAATGTTCATTTCAAACACAATTAAAACCTTGTGCCATATGGGTCTCAAATGCCATAATGGAACAACTGTGCCATCATTGTGTCAAACACCATAATGGCTACTATTGTGGGCAGAGTTTTGTGGAGCTCCCAGATTGATTCACGTGTGGAAGCAGGATTGGCATCCACTTCCAAAACCACATGCTTCTGGAAACTCTATGAACTTGGAAAAACAATGATAGTTATAGAAAGGCTTCCGGTCTTTTGTTTATATATAGACATGGAGGGTCCTTATATTTAAAAGTTGGTTGGACCTGAGGGTTTGTGTTATTTTATTTTGGAGGAACATTCTTCTAAGTTGTACAGCACTCCTCTGTCAATCTGCTGCACTAAGATAATCTGGGTTTGCTGAGTAATACTGAACCTTGTACCATTGGGGGTAAAATGCCATAATGGCTGCCCATGGTGGACAGTGTTTGGTGGAGCTCCTAGTTAAAGACAGGTTTGGAAGCATGCATGGCATCCACCTCCTAAACCACATGCCTCTGGAAACTCTATGAACTTGGGAAAATGACAATAGTTATAGAAAGGCCTCAGGCCTTTTGTTCATATGGTCACTATCAGTCGGGCTTGACTCGATGGCAATCAACAAAAACAATTGTGTGCTGGAAACAAGAATATATTTGGCACTGCATTGTGGCTCTTGCTGCCTTTTAGACTGGAATCCTGATCTCATCCTCATCAGTTAGCAGTTCTGTGTTCCTTGTGGTTGGGCCATAACTCTGTATGCTTCATTCAATTTGCTGATCTATAAAATGAGATTAGTAGAAGTTCCCTTCAGAAGAGCTGTTAAAGGACTACAGCATGCCAAGCACTTACTAAAGTGCCTGGTACATAAAAGTTGTTCAGTAAATGCCAGCAAAGAAATAGTCATGGCACTGTCTTTGGTAGTGATTTGTCAACAGGAATTCTCAGCAGTTTCTGCACTGAGGCCTGTGTAGAAAGATCAAACTTTGAGGATGCAAGAGCGACGCCTACTGGTGAAAGGTTGTTTCTCTTCGGTGCTGTGGCCTTAGCTCGCTTTCATTCCAGACACGTTTTTATTGGGCACCTGTGTTTCAGGCACAGTATGAGCACAAGGCAAACAAACTCACCATGTAGACTCCCAGTATGATGACAGTTTCAGAAAGGCCCAGTGAAGTTACCTAAATTCTTAATTTGGGCCCACAGACATCTGCATTTTTCTGAAGCCAGCAACTTTTATCATAATCTTAGAGTCCAAAACCAGGGTTCATATCTATTCATTTATTTGAACTGCCCCCATTATACCTATAGAAAAGCCAGAGCCCAAAAAGAGGGTGAGGATTTGTCCAGGTTCTCACAGTATGTTGAGACCAAGCTGAGGCCAGAACCTGCTCTCGCTGGTGCAAAGAGCTTTTCCTCTGAAATCAGAAAATCACAGATCCCTGGAGAGGATCCTGCTTCCTTTCCTTTGACTCTTCTTCCTAGGATCACTTAGGATGGTACGTCCCCTCAGGAAACACTTGATGTCATAGTAAAACCCATTTTGCTTCTCAAGTCTCTCACCCTTGGCCATGTAGGATCCCTGTCACTGGTGGGACTCCCAGATGCCTCAGCTTCTTCCACCTCAGCTTGGAGACCCGTGTGCAAGGCAGTCCAGGAATATGGGCAAGCTCGCTGGGCCCCTGTCCGCTGACATGCCTTGTGTGTGTGAGAGAGAGAAGTTCCCTCTGTTCTCTGAATCTCCGTTTCTCCACCTTAGAATAAAAATGTTCAATTAGATAACTTTCCCCCCACAAGGCCACGTTGTTCTTTTTCTATTAAAGACAAAAGTAGTGTCTAATAATAGTTGTAATAGTTTCTATTTAAAAATTTGAAAAGTCAAACAAGTTTAGTTTGTGCTTCCACTTGTGTAAAAATAATTGGGTGGACTGGAGGTGATTACTTGTGTAACTGAAACCTGTCTGGTGGTAGGTTCACAAGAAAGTGGGTAAAAGATCTTTTGGCGAGGAGGAGACTTGTTTTTTAATTATCCACCCTTTAATAATGTATTTGCAGTTTGTTTTTGTTTGGGGTGTATTTTTTGGGTACTGTTTGCAGTCATTACTTTTAAAATGAAAATTATTTTATTACTATTTATTGTTATTATTCATGTTATCTTAGGATAATAAGAATAAGTAAAAGGTAAATCAGATAGAATCCCACTTTGAAGAATCTTTTTGGATTCTGACCTTACAGACTTTGTACTTGTGTGTGTAAAGCCCATGGCAGCCGGAACTCAGAGGGACTGACTGCCTTGTTTTTCCGGTTCTTGAGAGACTTTACCTTTGACAGGGTGCTATCTTACTATTTCTTTTTTTTTAATCGTTCACTATTAGTAAAAAAAAAATCTGCATTTTCCTTCTCTAACAAGTTTTACTTGACAGATTTTACTGTACCACAAGCATATGCAGTGCTTCCCAGTAAAGTATATGTATAATATTTTAACAAGGAGAGTGGACAGGTGTTACTCAGAATCTGTTTGGGTTTCTCCACCCCACAGATGTTGTCTTGCTACTAATTCTGAAAAGCCTTTACATTTTATTGGGATACCCTGGAATTGCTTGGATAGCTTGGACTTGCTAGACAGCCTGTGTTATTCCTTGCTATGTTGGCAACATTGTCTTAGCCATTCAGTGGCCTTCCTGTGGTGGCAGCCGTCAGGGTGTAGGAGTCCTGCCGGGCCAGCTCTGTGTCCAGGCCTCTCCCCATGATGTGGGTCACTCCATCCTCTGCTGTGGCTCAGCCCAAGCCCCTCTTCTCTTTGTTTCTCCCTTTAGCTGCAGAAGCTGCTCCTTGCCACGTCCTCCCCGACGACAAGCTCTGACAGCCAGAAGGACGGGACCACCTGGCGGCATGCTGGCCGCAGGTCCAAAAGTCAGCGGCCTGGTGTCAAGGTATTTCTTCATCTGCCCAGGGCCCCAGACAGTTCTTACTTGACATCACATTCTTCAGTCAGCCTCCAGCATCTCCTCACACACCTCTTCGAGACTCAGCCCAATTTGGTGCTGTAGAAAAACCTTTTTTTTCATACACTTTCAAAAATTTTGGCCAAGAGACTTCTGTGTATCAGGTACTATGTTAGACGTTGCTTTTGAGCAAAGACAAGGATGTGGCCTGCCTTCCATGAGGTATACTTTTATTTTTTAAATTGCCTTTCCTTTTACCCAATTTATACTTATCGACTATGTGTTCTAGTGAGGTAGCAGACCAGAAGGTACAAATACATTTAAAAAGATGCTTCACTGACAGGGTGAGGGCCTGGAGAAGGAGCAGCCTGGGGTGGAGGGATGGTGGGTGCCAGCTGAGTGTCAGGGGTGAAGAGGAGGATCAAGCTGTACTCTGGTGTCAGGGGTAGACGGGAGCATTCCTGGTGGAAGTTGGATGCTTGTTTGGTTAGAAGAACAGAAAAGAGGTTGTTGCTTCAGCTGATGAGAGGAATACAAACCTTGAAAGCAGGGCCCAGGTCATTGACCACAGCGTTGGCTTGTGGGGTGCCATTGGAGGGCATTAAGCTCTGTCGTGAACACCTAGGAAGGATCAAAGCTAGTCTCTTTCACTACCTGAGCCTTGGCCTTCGAAGGAGAGCTAAGTAAAAAGGTCTCCAAGGAGTCCCGAGACTCAAATCCACACCGAACTTATCCCACCTGGCCCTCCAGGAGATAGTGGTGTAAAGGTCCACACCTTCAGGATCAAGGTAAAACTGGGGGTGGTTGGGTGCCCAGGTCTCTCTCTCTTGGTCAGGCCTCAGTGTGTAAACCTCACCCTCACCAGCTCCTCTGAGCAGGCTTCCCTGCCAGTCCAAGCTGACCTCTGAAAAGAACCCTCTGGGAGACCAGTAAGCTCCTCAGAGAGGTGACCACACCAGTCCACCCTAGCTCGGCAATGAGGCGCTTGTGCTGACAGGAGAGCCTGGGGTAGGGCAGGTGGGAAGAATGGAGGGAGGGACCTGCTCAGGCCAGATAAAGGAGTCTAGAAGACTCGGCTCAGGGCCTTTCCCCTTAACGGTGAGTGCTGGCAAGCTCCCCGGAAGGGCCTGGATTGTTTGCTCAAACAGCTTTATTGAGGTATCATTTACATACCATAAAATGTGCCTGTTTTTCCTTAATGGGTGATAGCTAGTGAACACAGATTGGTCTTATTCTGGTTTTGTATGTGATAAAATGTTCTAAAATGGATTGTGGTGAGAGTTTCACACAATATAACTTTATTAGGGCCCAATGAAGCATGTATAAGAAAGGGATGAGCTATATGGTATATGAATTCTAGTCCAATAAAACTGCTAGCAAAAAAAGTTACCTGTTTTAAGAATACAAATCTGTGGTTTTTAGTAAATTTGCAGTTATGCAACCACAGCTGTTGTCCTGTTTTGTAACATTTCTGTCACCCCTGAGGGATCCATGTGCTCCCATTTCCAGTTAATCCCGTTCCCACGCCCAGCTCCGGGCCACCACTAATCTACCTTCTGGCTTCCTTACCAAGGGGTGAAGAGCACAGTGGGTCGGAGGTGGGAGCAGGGCCTAGGCAGCCAGACCCCAGGCTGATAGACCTGTTAGGAGGCTGTTCATCCCTCCCTCCTCACCAGGTGGGCACCTGCTAGGTGCTGGGCTCTGTGCTGGGGGCAGAGGATGCAGTGAATGGAACTTTCTAGTCTTGTGACCCAGGTGAGATGTGTGCTGCAGACCAGGCCATAGAGGAGGCGCGGTGCAAGCCCCTAGCCTCATAGTAGCCTCTTTCCCTCTCTAGGTGGACAGCAGCCAAGACAAGAAGACCCCTCTCCCACAGCCCCAGAGCCGAAACTGTACAGAACTGCATAGGCACCTCACCTCGGTGCTGTCCTGCCCCCGGGCTAAAGCCCGCTCCCCAGAGAGGGCCCCGCACCCACCACCACCCCTGAGTCCTCGGCTCCCTGCCAGGGAGGAAAAGGAGCCAGGTGAGGACTGCCCAAGCCCCCAGCCAGCCCCAGCGTCTCCCCACAACTCTGCAGCGCCAGGCAGCGCAGGCCCCAGTGCCCAGGCTTCCCAGGAGGACATGCGGGCCATGGTGCAGCTGATCCACTACATGCACACCTACTGCCTCCCCCAGAGGAAGCTGCCCGCCCAGACCCCAGAGCCTGCCGCCCAGCCCTGCAGCCCCTCCAGGCAGGTCAGAGTGCAGCCCAAATCCCGGTCGCCCTCCAAAGCGCCCTGGGCTGAGTTCTCTATCCTGCGGGAACTTCTGGCTCAAGATGTCCTATGTGATGTCAGCAAACCCTACCGCCTGGCCACACCTGTGTATGCCTCCCTCACACCCCGGACAAGGCTCAGGACCCCTAAGGACAGTCATGCCTCCTCCGGTCACCTGTCCCCTGTGGAGGAGGTGAGGATTGCGGCTTCACCCAAGAGCCTGGGGCCTAGAGCGAGCCTGCGTCCTCTGCGGCTGGAGGTGAGAGGGGGTGTCCGCCGGCCTAGCAGGCTGCAGCGGGAAGAGGAAGACGAGGAGGAGGAAGAGGAAGAGGAGGAGGAAGAAAAGGAGGAGGAGGAGGAGGAGTGGGGCAGGAAAAGGCCAGGCCGAGGCCTGCCATGGACCAAGCTGGGCAGGAAGCTGGAGAGTTCCGTATGCCCAGTGCGCCGCTCGCGGAGGCTTAACCCCGAGTTAGGCCCCTGGCTGAGCTTCTGCGAAGAGTCCCTGGTCCCTCCAGAGCCCCAAGGTGCTCTGTCCTCACTGTGCCTGGCTCCCAGGGCCTACGATGTGGAGGGGGAGCTGAGCAGCCCCACGGACGAGGACAGTGGCCAAGACCAGCAGCTCCTGCGGGGTCCCCAGATTCCGGCTCTGGAGAGCCCCTGCGAGAGTGGGTGTGGGGATACAGATGAAGACCCCAGCTGCCTGCGGCTCCCTCCCAGAGGTAGTCATGGGGGGTGGCCTACAGGAGAGGGACAGGGAGAGGTGTGGCATACCCCACAGGACCAGGCCCCAGGTTCTGTCCTGTGTTGGGCAAGTCCCTTCCCCCACTGCTGACTCTCCTCTGCCCTTTCTATAAACTGGGAGGTTGGGGCAGATCTTTAGGATTGGCCCATCCTGAAGATGGATTTTTACCACTTCAGGGGTATTTTCAGCAGGCACTATTAATAAGGAGCAAGATGCCTGCCTTCCTGAGGTTTATGTTTTAATAGAGGATATAGGTGATAAAAATAAGCAGAGAGGAAGATAGTTACCAACTGTGACATGTCCTATCAAGAAAGCTTCCTGGGTGAGTCAACGGAAAGTGTGAGCCCATCCATTCACCTCTGCAAGGAAGTTGTTTTTGTCAGTTTCTAAGAACAATGGTGGTGGTGGTGGTGATTTGTGCACTGGCTCTGCCTCTCACTGTTCTAAGATTTAAGAGGTAATCCTACGTGACTCCCCACAACAAGCTTGTGTGGTAAATCTTCGTATTGTCGGTTTTAAGATGACACTCGGGCACAGAGGTGTTTTGTGATCAGCCCAGCCAGTGAGTCCTGTCTGTCTACTTAGCTGCGAGCCAGGAGTCAGCCCACAGCTGCTGTACTGAGGAGCTGGGACTTTCCTCACTGGCTGTATTGCTTGGCTCACAGGGTCTTCTCTTAGACCCACCCTGCTTTCTGTGAAAGGGAGTCACTCAAACTAGTCCTTAATGCTGCGCGAGCCCTGGGGTAGAAGGTAGACTTGCGTTGTTCCCACCTCCTGGCCCTAAAAGTTACAAGAGGTTTGCCTTTGGGTTAGAGACCTGAGAAAGAGTTATGTTTGGTTCTGAGGGAAGTTTAGGAGATCCTCCAAGGGGGGACATCGGCTGGTGATGCTGTGTTGGCAAATCTGTTTTCTTTTTTGTCTTTTCAGACTCTCCCAGGTGCCTCATGCTGGCCTTGTCACAAAGGTAGATTTTCAGATGTTACTGGTAGATTATTCCAAGAGACCTTGTCTTACTGGGTTTACATGGTGGTTGTGGTCCCCATGGCTCCTGCCCTGACTACCATGTGGGGTCCTCAGACAGTGGGCTCCCACAGAGGGCAATGTGGAGTTAGACGCAGGTCACCACAAATCCAGGGGATGGAGGCGGAGTTCAGGTCTCAGGGCATTTTGTAAGCTGTCTTCCTTGGGACACTGGAATGACTTTTCTCCTTGAAAAAGAGCTGACAGTGCTGTGTGGCTTTAGGCAGGAACCTTTTCCTCTCGGGGCCTCAGTTGCTCCATCTTAAATAAGAAGGTGGCATCACTCCTCCCCTTTCACCCTCCAGCAGACCTATGCTGTATCTCCTAGAAAAGCTGTGCAGCTTTGAATTCTTCCAGCAGTCAGGATGGTGTCCCCTCAGATGCTCCCCGGACCCCACTGTGAGCAGTGCACTAGAATCCATCATAGTTTCCCCTCACTCTCTTTGAGTGCTCAGGAGGGTGGGAGCCTGCTGCTGACCAGCCTCTTCCTTCTCTGTCTCTGACCCCGCCAGTGACCCTCCCTTTGGCAAGAAGAACTTCGAGCAGACCTTGACGGTGGAGCTCTGTGGCACAGCAGGTGAGCCAGGGACCGGGCGTGGGATGCTCTTGGGAGAGCTGGCTGATAAGACCCCTGTCAGAAAATCCCCCACACTCAGCAGATCCTTGAGCAGTGAGGGGTGCCCCTTGATCTCACCTTGTCACCACTTCACAGGGCTGTGGGGGTTGAGGTGCTTAGCGAGGTTATCATGAAGTGAGGCGACCCAAATTCAGCCACTCGGCCGCCTGTACTTGGTACGCAGATGCTGGCTCAGGAAAAAGGACACAGAATTCCAAGCTTAGAAGAGCCCAAGTAGAAACACACCACCATGTTGGCCACTGTTGGGAAAAGTATGCCCAGTGAAACCAGTGAGACCTGAAACACAATAAATCTGCCTGGGTTTTTTCAGGCCTCTGGAGTTTTCCACCTTTGACAGTGTTCCCACTCCTCTCTCTCTTGTTAGTGGAAAATAAGTTGATAAGTTTCCACCTTATAAAGTTCCCTGTTTTCTCGGGTTTTACTGTACATTGCTCCTTGGGACATGAGGAAGGGACAGATATGGCCAGGGGGCACTGCCAGCTCCCAGAACAGGGGACAGGTGAGCTGGATGTGAAAGATCAGTAGACATTGGGAAGACAAGGAAGGGGCCCCCAGTAGCCAGCTCAGCATGAGCAAGGGCATGGAGGAGCCGCATCTGAGGATCCTGGTGGCCTGTGTTGCTTGATGTTAGCATCCGGGTGTCAGCAAGGACCAGTCACAGGAGGACAGAGGCAGGTCAGGACAGCTGGGGAGGGTGAGGAAACTCGGGATGAGGAGGGTAGTCTTTGTCCTGTTGGCATCAGGAGCCTCCAAGAGGAAGAGCCGGGCGTGGCTGCAAGTGCCCTGTGGTGCACTGCAGAGGGCGGCAGACACACTGTGATGCCAGGGCACTGAGGACACTGGCCGTAAAGCCCAGTGCTTTTACCTGTGATGCCTGGCCATTCTCTGCTCTGGGGGGTCTAGAGGCATCTAAAGGTGCAGTTGGGAAATCTCATACCAAGATTGCATATCTTGGGTGACATGGAAGCTTCTGGGTATCATCCTTAGGCTACGGAAGGGCTGCTAAATGGATTTCATTTCACATGCTAACTCCTAAGGATGGGGGGGGGGGAGTGAGGCTGGTGCCTGGCCTGAGGCCTGTCCAGGCTCCACCCAAAGGTCCTGAGAGTAGTGATCTGCCATCATGTTGGGTTGGAGGAGTAGTGAGTGGCACATAGGCCACTTCTTAGCCATCTCTAACTGGGTCCTGCAGTCCACTGGGGAAGTGATTGGTCACGTATTTCTCTTCTTGCTTGGATAGGACTCACCCCACCAACCACACCCCCATACAAGCCGACAGAAGAGGACCCCTTTAAGCCTGACATCAAGCACACCTTGGGCAAAGACATAGCTCCCAGTGTCCCCTCCCCCGAAGGCCCCCAGCTTGGGGCCACTGCAGAGGCTACCCACAAGCTGCCAAAGAAACACCCGGAGCGGAGCGAGCTCCTGTCCCACCTGCGGCACACGGCAGCCACTCCAGCCTCCCAGGGTGGACAGAAGCGCCCCTTCTCCTGTTCCTTCGGAGACCACGACTACTGCCAGGTGCTCAAGCCGGAGGGCGCTCTGCAGAGAAAGGTGCTGAGGTCCTGGGAGCCATCTGGGACGCACCTGGAGGACTTGCCCCAGCAAGATGCCCCTCAGGCTGAGGCAGCGGCCTGTGTCAGGGAGGACGACAGGAGCTGCGATGCCAACACCCCCACCAAGGACAGCGTGCTGCTGAGAGACCATGAGATCCGCGCCAGCCTCACCAAGCACTTCGGGCTCCTGGAGAGTGCCCTGGACGACGAAGACCTGGCCTCGTGCAAAAGCCCCGAATATGACACCGTCTTTGAAGACAGCAGCAGCAGCAGTGGTGAGAGTAACTTCCTCCTGGAGGAGGAAGAGGACAATGAGGAGGACTCGGGGGCCAGCTCCCCTCGCTCTGACCACTGCCCCTACCAGAGCCCACCGAGGAAGGCCAGTCGGCAGCTCTGTTCCCGCAGCCGCTCCAGCTCTGGCTCCTCCTGCCGCTCCCGGTCACCAGCCACCCGGAGGACCTTCAGGTATGCATGAGTGCCGCAGGGAGGGATGGCCCCAGGGGCAGGCCCTGGGACCTGGGGTGCCGGGGAAGGAGAAACTCCAAGAACCTGGGCCTGCTTCTCCCTGGGGTACATCCTGGCTGGTTACCTGAAGCCTCGTCTCCTTGAAGGAGCTGTGAGCAAGTCCCAGAGCCAGCCATACCTGGTGCATCCCCAAACAACCAGAAATATCCACAACCCCCTGCCCACTTCCTTTTCCTTCATCTCTGTCTCTGCTTTGTGTGTTTGTACAATGGACGGGTTTTGTATAAAAACATCCCACATAATTTAAGACCTTTGCAATGTTTACTTGAAAAAGAAAGTTTGGCATAATTCTAATACATGTTCGGGGGGGGAAAAAACCTCCTAGAGTTAAAGCAGTGCTAATGCTATTCCTGTTTCTGAGTTCTGCTGAGTTCCAGGGTGAGTGACTTCAGCAGGCAGCCACCCCCCAGAGTTTTGGTACCTCAGCGTAGGAAGATGCGTCGTGAGCCCGTGGGCTCATTCTGTCTTTGCTCACTGAACCAGAGTGGAGATGGAGCTGGTCCAGAAATCAGCTGGGAAGCTGGGCAGGAAGAATGCAGCTTGGCACATTGGTTGTCAACTGGCTGCTTCTCTGATCACAGTAGGGCCCCCATTCTTTTCCAGGGGAAGCTTGAGGAGGGAGATGTAGCTGAGGAGCCACTAGATGGCAATGGTGGGCCAAGAGCAGGCCAGTTGAAGACCCTGGAGGATCAGTTAAACAGGTTACTGACTCAGTTGCCTGATTCAGTAGGTCTAGGCTAGGATTTTGCAGCTCTATCTTACATACTCTGGGCATGTGACCTGGAGGGACCAGGCCTAGGAGAAGGACATCATGCTTGGGAGAGTGGAGAGACAGTGCAGGAGAGAAAGACCCTGGATGAAATGGATTGATACTATTACTAGGGTAATGAGCGTAGGTATGTTCGAGTCAGTGAGACTGGCTCAGTACAGGGCAGGCTTCAGAATTGTTGTACATAGGGTCACTATGAGTCGCAGGCAACTTGATGACATATAACCATAAAAACAAGTGGGGCCCCAGAATTTGCATTTCTAACAAGTCCCCAAGTGATAATGCTGATGCCCCCAGAATGAGCTCAGCATTCAAGTGACATAAAGCTGTCTTTGTGGGGGAGCTCTGGTGGCCTAGTGGCAAGAAGCTGCAACTACAATCCCAGAGGTGCATGGTTCGAATCCACCAGATGCTCTGCCGGGGAAGGACCCTGTTCAGAAATGGTGAGAGAATGTGGAATAAAACAAACATGGACATCAGGGAGCTCTGGTGGCCTAGTGGCAAGGAGCTGCAACTACAATCCCAAAGGTGTACGGTTCGAATCCACCAGATGCTCTGCCGGGGAAGGAGGGGCAATCTCCTCCTGTACCAGTCAGATCTGATTTGACGGTACACGCACACAAAAAATAATAAAAAAATATATTTAAAAAAAATTTAAAAAAATAGGAGAGAAAAAATTAAAAAAAACAAACAAAAAAGCTGTCTTTGCTTGTTATGTGCAATAAGAAAGTGACTTGGCCAAGTTGAGTCTTGCTCAGTTTTCTTATCCCACTGCCAACACGTCGGGGGCCCCTCACAGTGACCCTGCGGAACAGGATAGAGCTGGCCCATCCAGTTCCTGAGGCACTAAGTCTTGCAAACTGCTTCCTCTTTCTCCCATGGAGCATCCTGATGGGTTCTAACCACTGGCTTTCCAGTTAGCAGCCCATGTCTTAGCCCTCTAAGCTACCAGGTCACCTCCAGCAGAGCTTGGTACTTGGTAATCCTCAAACCCTAACCTTCCCTGTACCGGTGTTTCTCTGCCCATGCTTCAGCTGCCATACCTAGATCAGCAGGAAGCATCTTGACAACATAAACCCCAGGTGCCACAGTGCCTCCCAGCTGCTCCTGGCTCCTCTGCTGAGGAAAGGACAGCCAGTTCTATTTCACTAGTCACATCCTGAGTTACCCTGTTTGAGATTCACAGATGTACTTGAAGGTTCTTCTTATCCCCATTTTGTAGATGAAGACATTGAGGTTCAGAAAGGTCAAGTCCATGTACTGATCTGTACTATTCGGCTGAGCCTAATATGTTACATACGTTTCTGATTCAATTCTCATAGATGGTTCAGGCGGTGGGTACAACTGGTAATCTCTTTTTAGAGATGAAGAACTGAAGCTGAGAGGGTTTAAGTAACAGACTCAAGGTCACCCAGGGAGGAGGTGGAAGAGCTGAGGTTCAGCCCCACATTGTGATTCAGAGCCCCTGTTCTGTTGTTCTGGCCCAAGAGGACATGGACGGAAAGTGGCAAAGCCAGGATTGGATCCCACCTCACACCCCAGGTGCCTTTCGCTGTGCAGACTGTCCCTTTGAAGAAGCAGACACGGTGTGGGCAGATCAATAGGTCTGGTAGCTCTGATAGATAGAAAAATAGTTGAAAGCAAGAGAGAGAAAGAAAGAAGCTAGTCCCAAGAAACAAACAGGCCTTTAGTGCCTGGTCTGAGAAGGACGCCAAGTGACCACATGCGAAGGTCAGAATGGTGCGGGTGAGTCAAGGATGATTTCTTTTTATAGGGGTTTTAGGGAAGACTAGAAAAAATGGTATTTTGCTTGGAATCTGGAATGGGGACCCTGTTAATTAACTTGGGTGTGGGCTTTTGTGATCAGGATCCCGGCCTCTGGTCTGGTCTCTATTCTGGTCACCTTAGATATCATTAGGCCTCTTCAAGGAGTGATCAGGCCTGCGGGCAACTGTGAAATTTTTCTTCTAAGCTCCACTAGGTCCAAGGCATTGTGATGGGCAATGGCTTTTCTCAGCCAAGGGCCAGCCAGCCAGTGGTGGCAGTCAGCCTGAGATCACCAGCCCTGCTCCCAGCCCTGACTTCCCTGCTTTCTGGCTTTAGGTGAATCCTACAAAGGACCTGAGGCTCGGGCTTCTCATCTGGGAAAAGTGGAAAGCGAAAACCACATGGGACTTTTTCATCCAGTCAGATGTGATAATGGATGTCTGTAGAGAGGTGGTACCCAGGAGTCATTGACACCAACAGATAATTCCCTACACAATCTTCCATCACCAGTAGTAGTAACAACCAATACCCTACAAGTGGTGCACAGGGCCATGGGAAAGATGAACAGAAAAGGCAAGTGGAAGGGACTACACCTTTGACATAGGTTTGTGGTTTTTGTTGTGTACCATAGAGTCGGAACCGACCCATAGCTGACCCTCTGGCAGGTTTTCAGAGGCAGTTAACCACACAGGAAGAGACTGTCCATCCGTCTTCCCATGGAGCAGCTGGTGGCCTCGAACTGCATGCCTTTAGGATTGCAGCACAGCTTCTTGCTACTAGGCCACCAGAGCTCCCTGTAGGTGTTTCTACTGGCCTATTTGTGTGTGCTGCAGATGGATCCTTGTGTATAGTAGAATCAACATCAGCAGGGAACAAGGTTACATCAACTTCTTAATCACAGCCAGACACCCTGAGGGAATGAGTCAATGGTCTTGGGGCCTCGGGACCATATCAGGGGATATCCAGGTCAGTTGACAAAAGATAATATTCTATTATTTACAAAAGCAGTGTTCTATACTCTACTTTGGTGAGTGGTGACAGGAGACTTAGAAGCTTCCTAACTGCCATCTAAGATGCAGTTAAGTATTGGTCATTCTGTATCTGGAGCAAATAAGAGTAAAGAAATTCAAAAGCACATGGAAGCAGTTAGTATGTAGCACTAATAGGGCTTGTAGACCTCCACTTCCATGACCCTAAGACCAGCAAAGTTGATGAAGCTTCACCTCACATATTTTGGGCATATTGTTAGAAGAGTCTATTCATGCTCAGAAGTGTGGAGGGACAGCACAGGAGAGGAAGATCCTGGATGAGATGGATTCATACAGTAACTGGGGCAGTGGGAGTTGGTGTGTCGGAATTAGTGAGACTGGCTTAGGACAGGGTAGGGTTCAGAGCTGCTATACATGCAACTCGATGGCACAGAACAACAACAACAACAACATTCCTTGGAAAAGGACATCATGCTTGGAATGGTGATGTCAGCAAAGGAGAAGACCCTCAGTGAGATGAACTGATGCATTGTCTGCAGCTGTGGACTCAAAAAATGTCAGGATAGGACAGAGTTCAGATCTATTGCACCTAGAGTCACTGAGTCATAATTGGCTCCCTGGCATTTAACAATAATACCAGGAAGACCAGAAAAACCTAGATAAACCACTGGCTAGGTGCTGTGAAAGGGATCACAATGGATGGTCCCGCATAGAAGGAGAATAAAAGCAAAACAAGACACAAAGACATAGAACTAGTCAAGGTTCCTGGCCTGATGGAGACTAGGAAACCCTGTGGCTGTGGCCACAAGTCAACTATGTGAGTCTGGGACTGCATTCACCCTAGGGGCACAACTTGTAGTCAAATACAGGCCTAGAAGGTGAGGACTCAGGAACCGATACCCACACCTGATAAGAAAGACAGCCTTTGCCCAGGGATAAAGCTTAGAAGGATGAAAAGAAACAAGAACCACAGAGAAGCAGTTCTGTTACAATGAAACGGGGATTAGAATCAATGTGATAAAATATGCTTGGATGGTTGAGTAAAAATGAATCTGCTCTTGTAACATTTCACTCAAGCAGATCAGCTAGTGGACTCGAACCACCTGCCTTTGGGTTGGCAGTGCAACTCCATACCACTAGGCCACCACCAGAGAACTCTATTTTAAAAAAAATAAATAAAGCACAGTAAAAGAATGGCTGTGTGAAGACTCTTCGTATCCCTCCTAGTAGACAAGATTCTGAGAACTTGGACTCTGGTGATTTGATCACCAGAGAAGCCTGGCTGAGAAGCCTGGGTCAGGGTGTTCTGAACCCTCGCTGGCTGGCGCTGGGCCTTTGTGTGAGGGTGTTTTAGCACTTCTGCCTTCATGCACAAGCTCCCCCCGCCCGCCCCCCCCACAAGGCACCCTTGCCTCCTAGAGTATCCTGAGAGTGAGTGCCTGTGCTTTGCTTGTTCACTGACAGATGTGATAGCAGAGGGCCGTGTTCAGACAGAACGCCAAGCATCCGGCACGCCAGGAAGCGGCACGAAAAGGCCATTGTAAGTGATCTGGGGCTCCAGAGCCCAGAGTGACTGGGGATGAGCAGGGGGTCAGGAAGTACAGGGGCTTCAGGGGCCTTTGAAGGGACTGGTGTGAGCCCTTTGGTTCAACTCTGCCAGGAACAGAAGGGCCACGGCCTGCAGAACAGTTAGGTGTCATTTGAAGAGCACAAGGGTGTCATCAGAGGGCATCAAAGGGTGACACCATGAAGGTGCCGCCAAGAGGCTGGCCGTAAAACATGTCATTGCTGGTGACATGGGGCTCATCAGCAGGGACCTTGAAGAGACTGAGGTGGCAGACTGGGTGGGAGCAAAGCAAGGGCACCAGCCAGTCAGTGCTGTCACCAGCGTGACTTCCCTGTGACCTCGGGCAGATCTCCCACCCACCCAAGCCTCAGCTTACTCATCTGCACACAGGAAGTTGGTCCTTGTGCTTCCTCTGTGCTCCTCTAGACCCTTCAGGACTAAGGGACTGAGCTGTCTGGTTCTTTTGTTCCCAGTCATGTCCCCAACTCCCTTCCAGCATCAGTCCGTGCACAGCAGCCAGACCCTGCAAGTGGCAGCCATAGCCTGCAATCCTGTGCCGCTAGAAAGGAGGGAAGGGAGCATAGGGCAGCAGCAGAAAGACGGTCACTTATGCCTACCCCCTCACAGTGGTGCATCTAGAATTATACATGATGTACGCGTGCCCCTAGAGGTGCACCACTGTGTGTGCAGGCAGTTTCTCAAAACCACACAGTGTGCAGAACGCATCTTCCTAGAGCCCATGTCAGATCTCTTGGTAGTTATTCATTATATGCCTGGAACTGTTATTCATTATATGCCTGGAACTGTTCTAGGTTTAGGCAGACAGACAGTGGCCTCACCTCCACCGGGAGAATGCCAAAAGACTCCTAAGGGAATAAACAGAGTAATGACAGACGGGGAACCGTGCTTTGACATTGACGTCATGCCTGAAATAAACAGCCGTGTTTTGACTGGTAGGGAGGGTGTGTTAACCTGGATGGGGCTGAGCAGGGCGTCATTAATTAAAGTTCTGAGGTGAAAAGCACTAGCCAAGCAAAGACTGGTGGCAGAGACAGGAGGGTGCTGTGAATTGACGCAACTCCAAGGAGGCCACTAGGAAAGGGTAGATTTGTACCCAGTCAAACCTTGATGTACTGCGTAGAGGGCTGCTCACATTACAGGACTGCTGACCCAGGGTCCTGCTGGGGGACCTCAGTTCTGCTTTTCTCCTGCTGTCGTGGTATGGGCTGGACAATTATTGTTACCTGTTGCCAGAGGAATTCAGTTACACCTGGGAATTGTCAGCCTTGCTCACAGGATTCTAGGACAAACTGGAGGTCTTCCCATAGGTCTGAGCAACTCCTCCAACAGCATGGCCTGAGAGGGAGAAGAAAACCACAAGGGGTAGTTACAGCTGGGCTCCCGCAACCATCAGTGAAGCTGTTCTTGAGGCCCATAGCATCTCACCAAACTCCCCTGGTCTATTTACTGTTGTCTGCACTGTGGCTTGAACCAGAGATAGTGGGGTGGGGGTGACTACATTAGCCCTAATGCCCCCTGCTCTATTGCCTTTCCTGCCAGCCACCTGGACTCCAGCAAATGACTTACCTCCTAATTCTTGCCCCATTACTATCCTCAGTTTCTCACAGCTGCACCCCAGCCTTGCCCATCAAAAAGAAAAAGAGAAAAAATAAATTTCAGATTCAACATAAATGCAGAAACTACTGAACATGTCACTGTATCATAGTGATAAATCCTCTTCTTCAACCCAGTCTCTGCTTACTTTCTGTCAAGTTGTACAAGTAAGCATCTACCTTCCTTTGGGGAGCACTTTCCCACCTGGGACTCTGCAGTCTCCTCCTCTATCAATACAGGACCTTTTTGTAGTAATGATCACTGTCCTTTCTCTGACTCCAGCCCCTTTGATGTCACTTGCTTAGCCAGATGTCATGACGGGGGGGGGGGGGGGGAAGATGCCGTGGACTCTCACGACCAAGGAGCTCCCCTGGCAATGACTGATCCCCTCTGTTAATTTGTAATTAAATACATTAAAAATTTAATTTCTTTCTTAAAATGTGTCCCCTTTCCTGAGCAGAGTGAAGGCCGGGTGGTGTACATTCGCAATCTCTCCAGCGACATGAGCTCTCGCGAGCTGAAGAGGCGCTTCGAGGTTTTTGGGGAGATTGTAGAGTGCCAGGTGCAGACCAGAAGCAAGAGGTGAGTTAAGTCCTGGGGGTTGGTGTGTACGCACACACTGGGGGCAGGGAGTGAGTGTACGCATGCAAGTGTTAAGTCTTAGAGGGTGGCGGGGGCGGGGGGTGCTGAGGATATTCATGGAGCACATTTCACTAATCCACACGTAGAGAACTACTACAGGGAGATGGCTTTAAAGAACAGAAATTTATTTTCTCACCATTCAGAGGGTAGAAGTCTGATTTAGAGCACCAGCTCTGGGAGGTGGCCCCTGCCTTCCAGCGTTCCTTCATTCCTTCATTTCCATGTGAGACTACGTTCACATTAATAAAATATAATTATAGAAAAAAAAAGATTTCAACATATGTTAGGGTTAGGGGAAAGCACATCACAGTCAGTCTAGAACAGTACCACACAGTGTCTGCGTAGTCTTTAATTGTTGCAACACACTGTGATAAATGTACGCATTCTTTCTACTGCTCTCCATTCTGGGGATTTCAGAAAAGTTAACTGAGCAGCTAGTTAGTGACAGAGCTAGAGCTGGAGCCCGCATGATTGCTATAGGTTCTGAGATCTGGTGATGGTAAAGGGGATGGGCCCACACCTGTGGCTGTCTTGATGTGCGCTTACCTGATGACCTCACTGCACACAAGCACCAAGTTTTCCATGTTCCTCTGTAGCTTGAATTTTGGGTCTCCTTTTTCTTTTAAGCAGCCTGGCTCCTTCCCACTCATCTGTGGAAGCCATACTTTGCCTTCAGGGGATCTAGAACAAGAACATTGCCTATAAATGCATAGCTTTGATGTCAAAACTTTTGTCAGTTTTTGTCTAAACTATTTCCCACTATACCTCTAAACTAAGTTACTATTTTAAAAATTGAATTTAATTCTTAAAATACATTAGTGAGAAAGTAGTTTTGTGCATAAGAGTCATCACACAAATGGAGCAACATGCATTATGCAGATGATAAAACCTTACTTGCTGAAACTGAGGAGGACCTGAAGTGCTTGCTGCAGAAAGTAAAGGACTGCAGCCTTAAATATGGATGGAAGCTCAGCATCAAGAAGACAAAGATTCTCACCACTGGGCCAATTGGCAGCATCATGATAGATGGGGAAGAGATTGAGATTGTTAAGAGCTTTAGTTTGCTTGGCTCCACAATCAACACTCTTGGTACTGTTGTTGTTATGTGTCGTCGAGTCATTTGCGATTCATAGCGACCCTATGTACAACAGCCCTAAACCATGCTCTATCCTGTGCCAATCTCACTGCCTCTGACACACCCATCCCGATTACCCCAGTTACTGAATCAATCCACCTCATAGAGGGTCTTCCCCTCCTGCGCTGTCCCTCCACTCTGCCCCGCATGATGTTCCTCTCTAAAGACCTGTCTCTCCTTACAACATGTCCAAAGTATGTCAGGCGAAGCCCCAGAATCCTTGCCTCCAAGGAGCAGCCTGGTTTAACCCTCTCTAGGATGAATCTATTTGTTTTCTTGGCAGTCCATGGTACATTCAGTACTCTTCTCCAGCACCACAGCTCAAAGGCGTCAATGACTGGCATTGAGGAAAGTCTGTTGTCAGGGACTTCTCCAGAGTACAGAAGAGCAGCGATGTCAGTATGGAGACAAAGGTGTGCCTGATCCAGGCCATGGTCTTCATAATTACTTGGTTTGCATCAAAAAGCTGGACAATGACAAGGGATGATTGAAGGAGAATTGATGCCTTTGAGCTGTGGTGCTGGAGAAGAGTATTGAATATACCATGGACTGCTAGGAGAACAAACAGGTTCGTCCTGTTGTTGTTGTTCTTAAGTGCTGTTAAGTCACCTCCGACCTGTAAGGACTCTATATATGGCAGCCTGCCCTGTCCCGAGTCAGTCTCACTAATTCCAACACACCAAGCCCCATTACCTCAGTTACTGTATCAATCCATTTCATCCAGAATCTTCCTCTCCTGCACTGTCCCTCCACCCTTCATGTCCTCCAACTATGTTATCTGTCTCCAAGGATTGCTGCTCCTGGCCACATGCCCAAAGTATGTGAAACAGAGCTTCAAAATCCTAGCCTCTCCAAGACAGATCTGTTTTCTTCACAGTCCATGGTATGTTCAAGACTCTTCTCCAGCACCACAATTCAAAGGCATCAATGATTCTTCTGTTATCCTTAGTCTTTGTCCAGCTCTTTCTGACACATAACAAGTAATTGAGAAGACCATGGCTTATATTAAGTGCACCTTAGTCTCTAAATTGACATCATTGCTTTTCAGTACTCCAGAAACATCCCTGACAGCAGATTTTCCCAGTGAAATTCATGTTTTGGTTTTCTGACAGCTGGTTCCAAGAGTGCTGATTGTGGAGGCAAGCAAGTTCTGTTAAATAACTCAATCCCCTCTCCATCTCTCATGGTGCTGCCAATTGGCCCAGTGGTGAGAATCTTTGTCTTCTTTATTGATGTTGAGCTTCCATCCATATTGAAGACTACAGTTCTTGATCTGCAGCAAGCATTTCAGGTCTTCTTCAGTTTCAGCAAGCAAGGTTGTGTCATCTGTATAACGTACGTTGTTGATGAGTCTTCCTCCAATCCTGATACCATATTCCTTCTCATAATTCCCAGCTTCCTGAATGATCTAGTCTGCATATAGATTGAAAAGATATGGAGACAGGGTGCATCTCTGACACACTCCTTTCCTGATTTTAATCATGCAGTGTTTCCCTGCTGTGTTCTGAGGATGCTTCCTGGTTCAAGTATAGGTTTCGCATAAGCACAATCAAATCTTCTGGGATTCCTATTTTCCTCAAGGTTAGCCACAATTTGTTGTGATCCATGTAGTCAAATGCCTTTGCATAGTCAATGAAACACAGATAGGCATTTCTCTGATACTCTTTGCTGTCTATCGAGATCCATCTGACACTGGCAATAATGTCCCTAGTGCCATAACCTCTTCTAAAGCCGACTTGTATTTTTGGTAATTCTCTGTCAATGTACTGTTTCAGTCATCCTAGATAGAGTGAAACAAGACTGCTCCTTGGAGGCAGGGCTTCTAAAACTCCATCTAACATACACTGGGCATATTGTAAGGAGGCACCAGTCCTCGAGAGGGATAGCATGCTTGGGACAGTGGAAGGACGGGGCAAGAAAGGAAGACCCTTGATGAGATGTGTGGTTGGAGTAGACTGCGACATGTAAGTTTCTCTCACTTTAAATTGCTATACATAAGAGCTGCTTACTGCACTGCAATCCCAGAGATATGTGGTTCAAATCCACCAGATGCTCTGCCGGAAAAGGAGGGGCAATCTCCTCCTGTACCTGTTGATCTGATTTGACGGTACACACACAAAAAATAAAAAAAGAGCTGCTTAGGACTTGGGATCTGAGTGAAGTGAAGTGAAGTGAAGTGAAGTGAAGTGAAGAGTAGTGGAACCTAACACCTGAGAGGTGTAAGAAACTTGCTCAGTGAGAGGAGCATGTTTAACCTGAGAAAGGTGGTATCAATGAAGGTTACCTATGACCATAACCACTGTGGGGGTAGTCAGGATGACTGTATAAGGTCTGTCTTAGCATGGTTGGAGAGGCTTGGGTGCACGCCGCCTGATGAGAATAGTGTCTTCTGGGGCAACTTCAGTGGTTTGGTCTAGACTTTCAGGCGAGCATTTGGGTGTGCAATGGTCTGCGTGTTTCCAGAGTAATTGTTTAAGGAGGGAGAGATAAGTTATGATGCTAAAAGAGGGCTCTCAGTGGGTAAGTTATGGTTTAGCAGAAACAGTCGTATATTAGTTTGAAGGGACTAGGAAGGATGATAAATGAGGTGTTGCTCGAATACAGGCTAAGGCAATAGGAAGTAAGTCAATCCAATACCTGCGTAATTTGACAGTCAGTTTAGTAAGATGGACTTAATGAGTTCATCCATGTGCTCTACTTTGCCTGAAGACTGGGAACAATATAGTACATGCAGCTTCTAGCAGATACTTAAACTAGAGGATACTTGCTGTGTGACTCTAGAGACAAAGCTAGGACCATTATCTGATTGTATAGAAATAGGGAGGCCAAGATGATATGCTGGAGTAGGGCCTCAGCAACCTTATCTGCTGTTTCTTGCCGGGTGGGGAAGGCTTCAACCAATCTGGAGAAGATATTTACTATAGTTGGGAGATTATTTCTTGTGGGTTGGCTTATGTGTGTAATCAATCTGCCAATCCTACCACCCATATTGGCCTTGGAGTTGAAGTGTTGAGGTGTGGGTCAGATGTTCTTCTGAGTATTTACTAGTTTACAGGTAAAGCATCTGTCCTGCACTGACTCAATGGTCCAGGTCAAAGAAGGGGAATGAAACAAAGGTTGGAGAAATTTTAAAAGAGCTTTTGTTCCTGTATGTAGGGACTGATGCACCCATGTTACATCAGCTTCTTGTTCTTGAGGCAAAGCTGCTTTGCCATTTTCCATGATCCATCCACTGGGAGTTAGGCGACCTTTATTTTGGAGGAGAGACTGCTTTTCTTCTACAGTGTATTTTGGATGTAGATCTGGCATGGTGGAAAATAGGATGAGGGTGGTCTGTTGTGGTTGCAAGGCCAACCAAAATATTTGCTATTTGGACTGCTTTGTTGTTTCCCTTGGTAATAAGGGAAGAATCTGACTGATGTCCTTTGCAGTGAATTATAGCGTACTGCTTAGGTAGTTCAAGAGCTTTTAACAAAAGAATAATCAGCTAGCTATTAACTATAGAGGAACATTTTGTTGTTATAAAGCCTTGCTCACACCAGATAGCAGCATAGCAATGAGCAATTGAAAGGGCATATTTAGAATCTGCCTCTAGCCTATAGGGCTCTTATAAGGGCAATAAACTCAGCTTTTTGTGAGGTCATGCCCTTGGGAAGTTTCCCACACTTTGCTTATGGAGACTTCAGCATAGGTAACCTTCAGAGGTGAACCTTCAAGAGCTGCCAACTACAAGCAGCATATGGTCTGAATTTGGAACGGGTTGATCAGATAGGGAAGTAAAGAGCACATAAGGTGTTTGGATTAA